TGATATTCATTGAAATATTTGGAGGCGTTGTACTGTCTTTTATATGGTAAGTTATTTGGTCTATTGTTCCGCGGCGGATATGGTAATGCATGTCTAAAGTAATATTCTTTGCATATTAGGGGCCGCTGATTAAAGTAGATAACTGATGGAAAGTTACAACCAAAGACTCTCACACATTTGGTGCTTTCAAGACAGAGACTTGATGATACATGTGTGAGCGTTTTAATTTCCAATTCATAAACGAACGATAAACACATCTTTAAATGAACCACTGGATGTTGGTTGTGGGACACCCCTTTGTTTTCAAATCACTTATAAATCCTGATTGCTGCACTTATGCAACACACACACACACACACACACACACACACACACACACACACACACACACACACACACACACACACACACACACACACACACACACACACACACACACACACACACACACACACACACACACACACACACACACACACACACACACACACACACACACACACACACACACACACACACACACACACACACACACACTTCATAATTCAGATGATTCATTTGCTGCCGCAGAGGAATTATGCATTTATTGTCTTGGCTGATCAACTTGACAGACAGTAATGAAATGAATGACAGAAGGTATCGCAGCATAGAGCTCAGCCTCATCACACAACTATAGAGCCCCGGGAAATATAGGGATGGAATTCATTATCGACTAATGAATGAGGCTTAAAAGTCTCACATAAAAAACTCTGCAAAGTAGCGTGCCCTTTTACACCATTTGTTCGGACATGTGCATCGCTGCCTCTCAAAGTCACTCATTCTTTATCGTGGTTTCAGGCATTTCTTCATAACCCCTCTGATACAGCTTACTAGACAATCTGCCATAATGTGACGCACTACAAGGCTGAAAACCCTCATATCCGCTGCCATCGATCAGACTCTTTGGTTTGGGAAGTCTAGTTGACAGCAGCATCCCGGTGACTCAATGGTCTCTAAGGCACGATTATGCATAATACAAATAAGCAGATACATTTCCCCAATCAATTCATTTGTGTATATTAAAAATATAACTTAATAATATACAAGAAAGGCTATCATCAATCCGAAACTCCAAAGTTAAATTGTCAAATGTCTTGATTTGTTCCAACAACAGTCTCAAACTCTAATATATTTAAATTACACAGATATAAAACAACAAAACCAGATAATCCTCATATTGGTAAAGCTGCAAACGAAGATCAGAATTGTTTCTGTTGCTTATAAATTGGGCTTCATTATTTAAGACATATTTAAAATATGACCACTTTTTCTTGTGCGTCTTTACAGTGAGCTGTGTTTAAAGACAGAACAAGTATTCATGGCCTTATGTTGGAGCCAAAAAGCTATTTAGCCTGAGTTAATGATTTGTATTATTATAATTTGTTCACATCCCTTTTATTTGTATTTGTTGAGCACTTCCAGCAATTGTCACATGGGTGTGTTTTGTATATTTAGGTCACATGGCCTTTGACAGGTAGCATTGTACTTTAGAGATCGTACCATGTGTAATGATGAACACCAGCCGTTTGAGACAGAGGAGCTGTAACTTAGTGATGAAGAACGGCTGTAGCTTCGATGGCGGATTCCAACCGTCTGCATTGACTGTCCGGACATTTAGGCTAACAGACAGAGACAGTGAGCAACCACTATTCCTCACTGTTGCACCAGAGGGTGATGAAGTGTGCACAAACTCTTTGAGGAAGACACCGACTACCGGCAAAAGCTGAACTGACTACTGGATTGCACGTCATTGAGAAAGTAAAGACGGCTGTAATCAAAAGTTAGTCGTGTCATATCATGGTTTTAACCTAGAGGCCAAATGAGTCTTATTTAAAAATCCTCCTCCAATTATTCCACAAAGGGACGGGTATCGTTTGGATTTTATCAATATCGCTTATCGATACCGAATTTGATACATGAAAAGATGTACAAATATCCAATAAGAGCTATTTATTGATGTTTCTCTTCCAAAATAACTGACTTATAGTCTTCGAGCTTCTCAGATGTAAAAAATAAAAAGGTTAAAAGAACAAAGATTTGGGATCACAAACTAAATAAATGTGTCATTTAACAGTTTACGTTTTTTCTTCTTTAAATGGTTGTTGATGTTCCCTTGGAGAAGTCACGATCCCTTTTCACTGACTGCACGTCATGTGGAAAACCCTCTTCCAGCGCTGAGGAGGCCTGAATCCCACTCCACATATCTATTATCCCCTCGATATCTCATTCATAACATATCTCCGGGAGGAAGGACCCAAACAAGTTCGAGGTGTTTCTGTAGATTCACGATGTGCAGTCATATCCAATAACTTCAAAGAGCTCATCTTGATATTAGTTAAAGCAGTTTAATTTGACTGTGAAATGACTGGGGAGACAGAGACCCCTGGTGGTCAGTTTGAGCAATTACATCTCGAGCTTTACTAGAACAGTGTTCACACTTAATGTTCCTTTTAATTAACATATTGTACATCCAATCAGGATAATGAATGTTTACTATCTCCCTATAGAGTTCATTAGACTACATGACATACTTGCAACCTATTTTTGTAACAATAATTCAACGTTTTAAAGCTGGAATTAAAAGGAAAACACTATTAAATGAGCGTTCATATTGTCGCAGACTGCATACCTTTTTGGACAAATGTGTGAAAGTGGCAACCTGAGCAGAAATCAAACCAATTTAAAATCTGTCAAAGACTTTTAGAAGTTCACTCCAATCTGTGTCATTAGAGAGGAAGCAGAGGACAGATAGGAAATAACAGAGAAAGAGAGAGGGGACAGACAGAGTAAACAAGGCCATCGGGGAAATAAGTCCAGTCATTTCCATGTGTGTGTTCCTCTGAGCCGCGGTTTAACAAGCTGCACATGAAGACGGGTGTGTGTGTGTGTGTGTGTGTGTGTGTGTGTGTGTGTGGAGTTCCTCTTAATCATATCCGTGAATGTTCAGCAGGAAACCGAGCGGGAGGAGGAACGTGTTAATTGATCCTCCAGAGCTGTCTGCTATGACTTCAAACTCTTCATTTATTTTCTTCACATATTTTATACACGCTGAGTCGGGCCCGGCTCCAGGGCACGATTTAATGAGGTTTGTGCATTGTTGTTATTTGTGAAAGCCTCCAAACCTCCAGCATGTTTAAAGAATGATCTGCACAATATTCAGACAGAACTATTTAGATTTCACATGAATTCATTATTTAAATGTTGAGTACTAGTCTCACAGCGATAACAGTTACAAAGTTTTGGACACAGTTTTCTAGACTAATCAGATAAAGGAACTTTTTTTAATAGGTGGCATCAAATTGAAGCAAATGTTTAAAGTGATGTCCTAAGGCTTATTTAATGGGCTAATCGTTAACGTTTCTCTTCTTGAGTCTTGTATATCATTTCTATTGCATACCTGTTAGTTGCAAATCACACAGTGCATGTCTATGGTCAACAAATGTATTTATTTCACATCATTTTGAGCTATTCTGAGTTGTTATTGTCAATTCTACTGTGTGTGATTGGAATCTGTGTTTAGTTGTTAGTGTTTTTTGGTCATGCCTTGATACATACAGTAAGCCCATTTTTTGTAATCTCCCTAGCATGAATCTGTTTCATTCATCCATTTGTTGCTGTAAGCGTTTCCTTTTAAACCTATTTTGTTGTTTCAAGAATAGATGACGGGACATAAAGACTTGACGACAATACATATATCTAAGGCTATATCACGGTAATGATAAAAAGCTCCCATGTCATGCTTTTCTGGTTATTACCGTCCCCTTGTGTTCTGAAGGTTTTTATGCATGTAAACGGTCTGCAGAGTCACAAACCCTCAAAGTACACCCTGTAGCGAGTAAAACTCTAACACAGAAAATACCTGTCTATGCTGCCCCAGAACGCCTCGTTGGACATTTATCTTTTTCAATTTTTGTCTTCCGGGAACCAAGTGACGTAACGACGACCCCTCCGCGGATTGGTCAAAATGGACCAATCCGCGGACTTCCTCACACACAATCTTTTCTCAGCTGCAGCTCCGTCAATTTCTCCTCCCTGAGACGGCGGGACGCTGCGAGGCTGTGAGTCGGTGAGCACACACACAAACTCCCAGCCAGGCTGCGGGTGTGTGTGTGTGTTCGGGCTGGGTCTCGCTGTCTCGCTGTCGGCCACTGGGCTCATAGGGAGGGGGGGGGGGGGGGGGGGGGCAGGAGCTCCAACGAGCCGTTTTGGACAGAGAGTTTTTACACATACTTTACAGAGATGCTGAGAAACCAATGTGAGTTTGGAAAATTGCACAATATAAATGTATTCTAGTAGAACTCAACAATGGAGTTATGATCAGTGGAAATGGGACCTTTAAGAATAAGTTACAGTAATATTTGTTGAGGGAACATTCAGGAAGTGCACTGCTGATGTGTTACTAAAATACTTCCTTTTGTCATCCTAGAATTAGCTGTAGACAGTTAAGTCGAATGCATGTCGGCAGTAATGGATGTGAGAATGATTTTAAATATTAAAGTCAAATCCAGAGGTGAAAAGTAACTAATTACATTACGTGCAGAGTTGAGTCTTGCTTTTTTATAGTTCTACCCAGCTACATTTCAAAATGTTCATGTACTAAATGTATTTGCAGTTCAAGCAAAGACATTTGTTAGATGACTCAAACTAGTTGTATGAGGAACAGAGGCACACATGTAAAAAGGGAACGCAGAGCGACTCGTTTCCGATTGAAGATCCATGAGAATACGTATATTTCAGAATGAAATGTAATGCAGTTTGGAAATAGACAACAAACGTATTGATCAGTAACCGAAGGTACCTCAATGTGGCAGCACCAGAACATTCTGAATGATTCAAGCAGATACTCTTAAGGGTTTCAGGTTGCATGAACACAATTGTGTTAATGTGTTCCCCTTCCAGATAGTGGAGCACAAAGTGAGTTCACAATGTAAATGTTAAGAGTGTTAAATACTACACGGGTGTTTTGTTTCTCATTTTTTACTTAAGTTTGATCAGCAGATAAAAAAAAAACATGATCATTAAATACAGGACGATTACAATAAGTAACAAATGATGTGCATTTATTTGACCTCCATACCTTAACTGTTGGTGTCCTTGTGATTTTGATTGCAAACTAAAGAATCAAACAACAAAAGCCAGACGCTACACGTAGAAGCCGTTCATGCGGAGTCCTGGGGATGTTTTGTTCGGCTCGTGGATGTGATACAGGAGCTGCATGAAAAAGTCCGAGTTGGGGCAGCTTTCAAATGTCCAATTCCCAGCTTAGCTTTCATCGGCCTCCAGGTTAATGTTGGTACCAAACTTGGCATAGAGCTGGATCTTCAGATCCCCCAAAACTTGCAGTATCGCCGACACTCGGGCATCGAGGCCTTTGACCTCCTGCTCCAGTGTTTCCTGATTACAGAACATAAATCCCAATTAAACCACATCTACTACAATTTCCCAGACGACGGAGAACAACATATTATGAAGGAAACATGTATTGTGATGAAAGAATTTAAAATGTGGCCTAAACTCATATATATATATCAATATTCCAATTACTGTATATAGACTATTCTGCACAGTTTCTATTATATGCTGTTTCTATTATATTTGTATTTTATTGTACTATGTTATCTGTGTTATTGTGTTGCACTGTTGGAGGAGCCTGGGACCTAAGATTAGTAGTCATAGCTACACTGTAGCTATGACTACATGACAATAAAAGCCTTGAAATAAGTGTGCACTCATTTATAGTCAGAAGATATGAGTTTAAACGTGAGCTTTTCTCAGCTGTTCGTAGCAAACGGCTCTACATACATCCTCGTTGCCTTCGCTGTGTGCTTTGTTGTTTGGCTAAAAAAGCATCGGCAGATAAAAAGGACAAACAGGAACTTGAAGTGACAGAAGGAAGGACAAGGTCTCATCTGAGGACCAATAGTGCACCATGGATGATTAATGTGCCCCAAACTTCAACTGCTTCTCACTGTTCCAAAGCTCTGAGACAACTATCAGTGCAAATAAAGGAATAGTTTTACATTTTTTGGACTATGTTATTGGTTTTCTTGCCAACGTTCATATGTGAAGATCAATACACTTCTCATGACTGCAGTCTGGTTATCGTCACAGTGACTGAAAGCATGCTAAAAACACTCTGAAATAGTTTTATTGTGATGTACAAGGTTACTCATTGACTTTTGTATGACGTATAGAAATGTGTAATTAAACCGATCAATACACTGTGGGTGCAAAACATTTTCTGTTCATGTCAGTTTAAAAAGGGAACATTCAGACTTGTAGATGAATCTCCCATTTTTAAAATGAGGAAGCTAAGGGGAGAGTCAGACATAGCTTTCACTGGAAATCAGATTTTAGATGAATTTTTCTTAGAGGCAGGAATTAGTGCAAATTAAAGAAACCCATAATTTAATAGGAAGGATATCGTCCGACTTTTTTTCCCAATGCAAACGAGCCGTCTTTATATTGAAATTAGACATAATAATAAGTAGGGGTGTAACGGTTCACAGAAGTCACGGTTCGGTTCGTACCTCGGTTTGGAGGTCACGGTTCGGTACGGTTCGGTACAGCAAGAAAAAGCAAAAAAAAGTCCCAAATGCATAATTCCAGGTTTGTTGTTATTTATGTTTGAACAGTAGTGCAAGTTTCAGTTTAAAAATAAAGAACTATTTTTTGAATAATTAACTGTATTAAACAGTTAAAAACAAACCATACACAGTACCACACACACTCAGATGGCCATATTATCTATAATGGCTGATGTCAAACAAAAAGGTTTCATCAAGCTGTAAAACTAAAAAGAATGTCTTGAAAATATGACATCATAAATAATAAGAAAGTGTTTCAAGAGCGCAAAGTCGTTGAAAACCATATGCCAAAAGCTTCCGTTATTTATTTTGGTCTCACGGCTCTCATGTCTATTGGTTTATAAAAACAGCGGGGATCAGCTGCTGAACTGCTGTTGTCTTTCGCTGGGCTCCGCCTTCTGATATGATTTAGCATGTTTGGCGTGTGTTACCATTAGCATACCGCACCGCTGTAGAACAACGGCGACACACCGTCCTCGTCCGATCCACCACTCGCGCACTCCATCGTTATTGTAGTCCACAGGGAACCCGAAATGTTCCCACACAGCTGATTTAAAAGAAGCAGGTGGGTTCTAGCTCCTGTGTGTTATCTGAAATCGCCATACTAACTTTTCTTCTTCTTGTATTTTGTTCGTTTGTTGTTGTGTTTCTTCTTGTTCTTCATTTGTTGTTTAAGGGCGGCTGGCAAACAGCTTTTAGGCGCAATACCGCCCCCTGGATTATATATAGTGTAATGGATACAGCCCTGAATGACACTTTTTTCCCACTCATAAAAAAAAGGCGTATTCGTCGTGTGACTGCGTGTGCCGAACCGTGACGTCTGAACCATGACGGTACGGGAAGAATACCGTTACACCCCTAATAATAAGACATACACAAACTATCTACAATTCCCAAAGCCATGAATACAGTATGTGACCTGACGTTTTTATCTTTAAGAAATATGAGAGAACATTTTCTTTTAGGTGATATAGGTGAATGGAGTTTTAGTGCTTTCAGTCCCTTGACTTTATGACTCATCTTAATAAGAGTCTTTTACTGATGATTACCATTTCAAAAAGGTATAATGGTGTCTAAAGAAACCTACCTTGGCAGCCTCCAGCATCTCTTGAGTCTCTTCCTGGGTGTGACTGACAAAGACGTCGCCAATTTGGTACGGGATCAAAAGAGAGTCGTCGTCTAACATCATTAGGTCGTCGCTGGCATCCTGAAGGTTCTGCAGCGATTTCTGCCGGGTGACATTAGCAGAACATTACAGTCTCAATTAGGGCTGTTAACAAATGACTGTCAGTAATTCAGCAGCTGCACTTCCCTTTAGACCGTACTTAACCGTAACCCATATGAACAAATTACATTTCACCGGGAATTTGTCATTATCAACTTTATGGTAATTTCACAGGCTGTATTGTGTGGCTCTGATGACTCGTACTATGTTAAACTTAAGAAGTGAAGATGATAAGGGTCTGAAAGTTGATCAATTATTCCTTTGCAGTACAGCGAATTAGAAATAACAGAACCGCAAACAACTACAGCCTTCAAAATGAACATTACGTTTCAACAGCTCCTTAGAATATATTCAATAAAACATTGTTATCCTTGTGAAAACAGGGCTGTTGTGTATTGCTAACTCTAGACAAAGAATCTACACACAATAAGCCTATATTATTGCCATTACCCATGTTGGTCCAAAATATACATTTGTATTACAAACTCAGATGATCACACAATGGACCCCGAAAGGGTCAAATCCACATCACATGGTGCTTACTTTCTTCGCCTCGATTTCATTTTTCAGCTCGTTCATCCGACTTGTGTTCCTGGCGAATTTATTGATCCTCTGCTGGTCTTCAAAGGTGACGTTCACATCTTCTACCGCCTGCAGACATGAGGAAAAAAGTGGTTAAAGCCAGCTGTGGCAAATAACTCAGTACATTTACTTGCTTATTGCAGGTACATTTCTTTACTAATTATACTGCACTTGAGAATTTCCATTTTGTGCTATTTTAAATGTCTATTCCAATACAAATCAAAAGAGAAATATAACCTTTAAAATCACTATATTCTATTAAATAAATGCTTTAGTTACTATAGGTTACTATATAACCAAAAATATAAATCAGCAAATAAATAATGATGCTTCATTAAGTGGGAAATTCAAAAGCTAAAATTAGTCTCACTTTTAACAGCTCCAACATATAAGTGATGAACACATAATAAACATTTATTATAATCCATTGAATATACGTTATAGTAATTTTAGTCCGGGGGCTTTAAGTATATTTTGATGCCAATACTTATTTAATTACATTAATTTTTACTCAGTGATAATGTGCCCAAAGACTATATTAGGTAAATTAAGGTAAATTGACAATTATTTATCCAGTTGAGTTTAAAAGTACCGGCATATCTTTCATATTCAACTTGCTATGATTACTATAGATATGTTAACATATAGTAGATTTCTTATAATGCTAAATGTAGTCATTTGGCACTTGGGGACTTCCCTATATCATAATGAAATATAAACATTTGTAAAGTAGTCCCATAGGCCAAACATAGTCTGATAGCCAAGCCGTTTGTTTTTTATTGTTAGATTTGTGGGTAGTCAATCCCATAAAGCAAACAAAAGGTTTAAATTAAATAGACTAATTCTCCCACCTCTGTTAAAGCTAACATGCCAAACCCTGTTGGTCCACTAGCATACATATGAATGGTCAACGTAGCTACTGTTATCTAGCAAGCTAAAGAGGTAACTTTACAGTGTGTCCCGTCTGTTCTGCCAACTATCACATCCATGGTTTCTGTAGTTATTATTATCATCACCATTAAGCTGGCTAATTCTTAAGACTCTCAGTTGAATAAAAAACGGGATAAATATAGCTAGTGTATTAGCTAGCTAGCTAACGGTAGCTACAACCGTTGACATGAGCTGCACGAGGGCGTGACCATGATATTTATGTATCCGTGGTATCAACGGTTGTGTCTTTTTCCCCCACACAAACCTCTACTGCTTTATCTAATACTGCAAAAGAGACTGCAGCAGAGTGTCTTGAAAAGCAAGTTATTTTGTAATGTAATACTCACTACAGTTCCCTTCATGATGGCTGCCATCTTGGCTTCCTCGACTGCACAGATACACAGATCACCAGAAAAATAAATCTGTACCGCCACCAAGCGGGACAGGAAGTACCTCTAGATTTTAGCAGTAACAATGATAGAAAACAACACCTTTTCTTCAGTTTAGTCCACTTAATCATAATGTACATTTACTACTGAAGTAGGCTACTCTACTTAAGTAAAAAGTTGGGGTACATGAACATAAATGTTTTATTTAGTTCACTACTTTACACTTGTAGCCTACCTTTTTACTCCATTACATTATTTTTTTTAGATTTAGTTACTATGCAGATTTAGGTTACAAAATATCCTCCTGAGACCCAGAAAGAAAAAGGTTTCAAATTGTATTTAGGGTGGTATAAACATAATGACTAACAAAAAAAAAGGTTTTTTATTTTTGTTGTAGTGTGTGTCCTTTGTAGAGGACATCGGGTGTTAGTTATGCGAAGCATAGTATACAAACAACATTAACATACAAGTACATTTTAGACAACATTCGAGCACAACAACTCAATGCAACAAATATTGAGCCCTCATTTGTAGTACTCCATCTTTTTTTTAAATGCAGAGATACATCTTGATGTATGTTTTCCCACTGCATCGGTCTGCCATGAACCCTACAGAAACGTAAGTGTCAGTTTTGGCCCATAGTGGACTCCATTTGTGTTGTGTAATATGGGGGAAATAAAAAGTTAGCGAATCCCCATGTCCTCCTCAGAGGACATTCATAAAAACATTTAGTTTTAGGTCAAATAAGTAGCCTATTACACTGCTCTGAAAACTCACTACACTAACTCCTAAGATGTTCCCTTACTATAATTAATTAAAAATATTGAACTCACAACTCTGGTAATTACAAATGTACCATGTATCTTTCTATAAATAGTGCTTGTGTTGATGGACGCCATTTTAAAATACAATGAAATTATCTTTTCCAAAGCCACACCCCCACATATGTCATATGTTTGAAAAGCCCAGGATGTCCTCTGTGGAGTACAATTGGACTTAATGCTGTGGCATGTATAACCTCAAAGTAATGGACCAAAACCCAATGTGCTCCACAGAGGACAAAAATGAATGGGTGGGTCTCTGGAGGACATAAATCGACAGTACTTGTAAAGTACTTCAAATAAACCCCCCACCTTTACTAACTTCAAAACTGAAGTGATGAACAAATGAATGCACCTATAATTGATATACATTTTGTAATCGGATGTTTAAAGGTGCCTTTCTATATAGCAACTACTTTTTTACTTTTACTTGAGTACACATTTGGATGCAGTACTTTGACTTGTAACTGAGTATTTTTACACTGTAGTATTATACCTTTAGTTAAGTAAATAACCCGAGTACTTCTTCCGTCTCTGCATTTCACCGCATAATAGGCCTATTGCTGTCCTTTGATCACACAAGTACTTATAAAAGAGAATAATATAAGGTAGCATCAAACATGGGCCTTCATTCATAAAGAAGTTATAATTTAAGAAATGTTTTCCTATAAAAACAACATTGTTTTCTTACCACTATGATAGGTAGGCCTTTTTCTGTGTTTTTCATCAGAGGTAGAACGTCAAGTCAAGTCAAGCACAAATACTTTTTTAAGAGTTGTATGTATTATTGTAATTATAAGTTCATTGTTTGCGATGTTGGGAAGACATTGAGTACTTTCTGACAAGTTATCATTATTTATGTTGTTTAGTAATGCTGCTTGTGATTTTTGTATTAAGAGTGTGTTAAATGTTAATTATATCATTTGTTATTTTGTCTATTTACTTTGTTACTTTGTTCACATGGTCAAAATAAGTGAAACAAAATAAAAGAAAAATGATGGCAAATACAGTTGCAAGAAAAAGTATGTGAACCCTTTGGATTCTCCACACATAGCGTTGTGTGTTCCTTCCAAACAACTCAACTTTGATTTCATCTGTCCACAGAATATGTTGCCAGTAGTGCTGTGGAACATCCAGGTGCTCTTTTGCAAACTTCAAACGTACAGCAATGTTTTTTCTGGACAGCAGTGGCTTCCTCCGTGGTGTCCTCCCATGAACTCCATTCTTGTTCAGTGTTTTACGTATCGTAGATTCGTCAACAGAGATGTTAGCATGTGCCAGAGATTTCTCTAAGTCTCTAGCTGACACTCTAGGATTCTTCTTCACCTCATTGAGCATTCTGCGCTGTGCTCTTGCAGTCATCTTTACAGGACGGCCACTCCTAGGGAGAGTAGCAACAGTGCTGACCTTTCTCCATGTATAGACACTTTGTCTTACCGTGGACTGATGAACATCAAGGCTTTTAGAGATACTTTGGTAACCCTTTCCAGCTTTATGCAAGTCAACAATTCTTAATCGTAGGTCTTCTGAGAGCTCTTTTGTGCGAGGCATGGTTCACATCTGGCAATGCTTCTTAAGAATAGCACATTCAAAACTGGTGTGTATTTGTTATAGGGCAGGGCAGCTTTAACCAACACCTCCAATCTCGTCTCATTGATTGGACTCCAGGTTGGCTGACTCCTGACTCCAATTAGCTCTTGAAGAAGTCTTTAGCCTAGGGGTTCACATTTTTCTACCCTGCACTGTGAATGTTTACATGGTGTGTTCAATAAAAACATGAACACATATAATTGTTTGTGTGGTATTAGTTTAAGCAGACTGTGTTTGTCTATTGGTGTGACTTAGATGAAGATCAGAACACATGTTATGACCAACTTATGCAGAAATCCAGGTCATTCCAAAGGGTTCACATACTTTTTCTTGCAACTGTAACTCTCTTATGAGAGTGAGAATTTAGGTTTAGTTTAAATATATAATTAATTACCTAAAATAAATGAGCTAAGAATATGTCAAACATGTTATTTTATCAACCGGACCTACTTCTCTATAAATATTTCCACAGCAAACAGTACTGCACCCTAGCTCAAATATTTACTGAATACATATGGTGAGCTAGAGTGCTATTAATCCAATTCAAGCTGGCTGCAGGAAATGGATTAAGTGCACCACTTAAAGATATATAAGTGTTGTATGTGCAACCAGGCAGTATCATGAAAATCATTATGTTTTGACTAAATCTTAATAACCAAATGTCCTTATTATTTCTAAAATCAAGGGACTTTTTGTAAGGGTCGTGCCCCTGATAAAACTAGAAGGCTGCCGTGTGTTCAACATCATGAAGAGTTTGTCTGAGGTCTCTCAGCTGTTGGCCTTGCATGAAGTCAAAAGTGCACAATCCAATCAGGGGAATCCAACTCCCACCTCAATGTGCAGCCTATAGGCTACAATTGAGACATTGTGTGCATGGATTCCAAGCCCTGTCATAATACATTCAATAAACACTGCACATTTGAAGTTTCCTAACAATTGTGTTTTGCAGTTATTTGTTGTAAAACATATTCAAATGATTTTAAGTTTGGCTGATTTGCATGAAAAGGCTTTTGTCAGCAGCATGATCACAGCACATGATGCTGTACAAAGCGGCAAACAAACACACAGATGGGTATAATTAAAGAAGAAACACCTCAGAGTGAACTCAAGTCAGTTTGTCTTTGATCCCTGAGTGCCACTCAGGCAGTGCTGTCTGAATTGATGCATGACAGGCACTCAAAGACATTTAAATATGACCATGGAAGTCTTTTAAGACAGATGATTTAATTACAGAGCTCTTTGTTTGTCATGATAAGCTGTGACTCTAAAACAGATAGTTCCTCTTATAAAATCATATCAAAGAAATACAGTAGATATTTCATGGCATGTGGCACTTGGATTATTTCTTCCAAATTGTCCTATTATTAACAGACCCTGTAAAAAAGATCATAATAACCTAAATGATAACATGATTAAAGTTATTCTTTAAAATAAAAAGAACCGGGTTTATAGAATACTACGTTTATGCATGTTCTTTGTTGGCAATTAGGAAGTGTTACAACTAATGTCCTTAACCTACATCCTGTTAGTTCACATGTAATTTGTCAACAAGAGTGCACTGCATCGCCTTATTTCCTTGTGATTGATAAGATTATCAGCACATTATGATCATGTCGGGGGGTCTTCAAAGTGTTCACAGAGAGATTACAATGAGCTAATCGTGAGCTTTTAATAAAAGAGCACCGACACTGTAGTCAGTGAATAGTAGGAAGTCCCATTGATTACTTAAAAACGGTCACACCCATTTCTTAAAGCACACCAACTATGTATATAGGCTGTAAACAACAGGCATGCACAGTTTGGTAGGAGCAGCAGAGTGACACACTCCCTGCATATTTTATCTTAAGACGGATATCACTTGTTTGTCTTGCAGAAGTGTAACAAGGTAAGACATTTGAGTTAACACAATGCTATATTACTGAATGAAGAGACATACCAATTTCGATATATATTGCATTTTTGCATTGTATAGTTTCTTGTTCATGAAACGTAACTAAATTATATTTCCTTTTTTTCAGAATCGGAGTTTCAAAGCCTGATTCTTGGAAAACATGGGGAACGAAGCATCCAAGAACAAAGAGCTTACCAAGGTAGCATTTTATTAAAAGTAACAAAAACCTGTGATGTTAACCCTATAACTGAAGTATCTATAACTTATAATACATTTTAATTTCTCATGGAAAAGCAGATGTTAATGGCTGTTTGGACCAAATATGTTATACCATATTTTTCAAAATGTTTGATTGTTAGCAGTTTATGTAAATGCAAAATCAGTGTTTTGTCCAAATAACCCACTGTAGATAATGTCTTGTTAACTGTGGACCAATCTATACAGTATGTCTTTATTGCTTTTTTATAGCATGGGAGCATTTCTAGTAAGCATAACAATGGATCATTGAATGGCATCTCTACAAACATCAAATCTAATGGAGTGGCGACTGTTGGTGAGTGAGATCTGTTTTTATTAGAATACCTAATCATGTTTTAACTTTAAAAAAGCATGGTAGAAATATGTCATATATACACATTTGGACACAGTGTGACAATTAACTTTTTGTCTTAAAATGTTGAGAATCTGAGGATGACAGTCATATTTGTACTGTTCTTAATACTATTAAGCTGTATATTGCTTCTTGGGAAATATTGTACACTAGTCTCTGACACATAAAATCAGCTGATTTATGTTGGATTAGTCCTTTGGACTTTATAACACTCTGTAAACACAGTGACTCCCAGCTGGACTGTGTCTTGGGACTTACAAAGTAAACCTTAGGCGTAGTCTCATACAGTGACAAGAAGCAACTGTTTATCCTGTCATGGTGTGGTTTGTGTCAGTGCAGAGATAATAGTGCTGCAGGATTCCCACTGTCACCTGAGTTAGTCTAAGTCAGCTAATGTTGGCGACGGAGACAATTTCACTTTCTCACACATAGTCCATGTTTACTTCATGGAGACATGGAGCAAAGTAGATATCGTGCATAAGTTAAATATTGCATTCAAAGAAGTTAACATAAAATAAACACTGATGTGTAATATAAATGACAGATGCAAAAATATTTGGTAAAGCATATTCAAACACACGAATAATTATTAGATAAGATGCATTATTGTAACACAGACTTCACATTACAGACAAGAGAACAAAATAAAATAATCAACTAGCAACATGTAAAATATTTGTCAGAAAGTTTCAGGTTCCAATCTTTAATTCCCAACCCTTTTTTTTAACCTTGCCACAGAAATAACTGAGCCGCACTACGTGATAGTCGAAACCGACTCTAAATCTGCTGAAGCTCCGATTATTTCTGAACTCCTGGAAACCATCATCCAAAAGGAAGAAGTCCAGGAAATAAATGAAAATCCACCAGATGAAAGTCTTCCTGACCCCGATCCACAGACCGTAAGTGCAGATATGTTTGTTTTCAAATGTAATATTCTATTATTTTTATCGTCAACAAATACCATGCAAAGACCTAAACAAACATGTGTTGCTCTCGTCGCCAAAGCCTGCTTTATCGTATTTCTAATCCAAAACGTAAAATATTCCAGTACCTGTTTGAGTAGCATTTGCTCACGAACTACATTGACCAGCTTGTTTAAAATAATTACTTAACCCTTTTCTAGAAACGAGTATTTTCTTGATTAGGACAACATTATTGTGTCTATTTTGTGCCTTGGGAGGTTGGAGAGTAAAGCTGGACGTAATTTCTTTACTAACAGACTGCTGTTGCTGTAACGGCAACATTGTCTTACCTTAAACAATCATTTGTTGTGCCATTTTTTTAAGTGTCTTTTGGCCAAAGAAGAAAAGGGGGAGGGAAATCCGAGAGCCCTGAGAGAAGAACTAATGCATTGTTGGTTTGGTCTTTTGTCATATTTGTTGACTGTAAGGAAAATAAAGAAACATTTCTTATCCTTCAATGTTTTCTAATCCCCAAAACAATCTGCCTGCCAAATTGACTAATATCACTTCGTAAGGTAAGCCAATTTAAGGGGTATATAAACCAATCCACTAACAAATTGAAACTGTCACGATTCTCATGTAATGTCACGATCTGTCTGTGTTGTGTTTTGTCTTGTTTAGATCTGTCTGTGGTTTTCTGTCTGCGTTGTGTTTTGTCTTGTTTAGATCTGTCTGTGGTTCCCTGTCAGTTTCCCTGGTGTGTCTAATTTACCCGATTGTGTGCACCTGGTTTCCCTGTGTTTTCTCCTCCCTCCTCACCTGTGTCTTGTTTGTATGATTAGTCTTGTGTGTATTTAAGTTCTGGTTTTTCTGTCTGTCTGTCGGTTCGTCTTTTGTTGGTGACTGAGTTCACCGGTGAGTGTTCTGTTTTGTCTGAGTTAGTTTCATTATCCTTGAAATAAAGGTTTATCAGAGTTATCTGCATTTGGGTCCTGCTTCCTTCACTCAACCGTGACAGAAACAAAAGGTAGAAAGAATTTCTACAACCAAATAAATAAATAAATAGTCTCAAGCACATGGTTGTGATATATGTCACGGAATCAATTAATAAGCTCTATTTGATTTAAACACCAATGTTGATTTTCATGATAAAGGAGTCGGACACAAGAGAAGAGGAAGCCTTCTCCGTGATCATCGATGTGCACCAAGACGACTTTGAATATCCACTTTGGAAAGCTGAAATATCAACACAAACGGACAGAAAAATTGAAGCACATATTTCAACGCAAACTGGTGAGGATAATGTTGATACAACCACCTATACTGATGGTCCAGTGGAAGTCATAATGGAGACGCAGGCATCGCAAGAAGATCCGCCAAATGAGTCGGCATTTGTCATTGCGGGGGTTGTTGAAGATACTTTGAATGAGGAGCACTTAGACAACCAGACAGCTGGGATTATCAAAGAAGAACTTGTCAAGGAGAACATAGTGTGTGAGTGTATAGTATGCAGAGCAGATACAACCACCAACACTTATGGCCAAATAGAGGACATAGTCATAATAGAGACAGCAGCAACTGAAGAAGATCCATCATATGATCCTTCATTAATCATTGCTGAGGAGGTTGTTGAAGAGACTTTTAATGTAGAGCCATCAGACAACCAAGAATCTGGATTCATTAAAGAAGAACTTGTCATGGAGAACATTGTGTGTGAGAACATAGTGTTCAGAGAAGAATGGATGGAAGTTATCGACATCATAAACTTCAATGAATCTAAAGTCCCTTCTGTGACAGTACTGCTGGTAAATATGGAATCTGCCCATGAAGGGGTAACCGCAGATACTGTAGCTGAGGATGTACCTGAAATATGTAAACAAGAAGTTCTAGCTGTTGCAGTTGAGAATGTACCAACAAGATGTGAAAACGTGGAACCTGTCCATGAAGAGGTCACCGCAGATTATGCTCCTGCAGTTGAAGATGTACCAGAAATATGTGAACAAGAAGTACATGCTGTATTGGAACTTTCTGTCCCTCCTGTGACAGTTATTATAGTAAATGTGGAATCTCACCATGAAGAAATCAGCGCAAATGGTGTCATTGCAGTTGAGAATGTACAAGAAATATGTGGACAAGTAGTACTTGATGATGAGTGGGATAGATGTCCTGAGGAAGAAGTTATCATTGTAGAAGCTCCGTCCATTGAGCGTATCACCTTTGAAGAACTTCCTGACGAAAAGTTGTGCTCTCATGATGATGAAGACATGCTTGGATATATTCTTGAAGTTATTGCTAGAGATATGAATGCAGAGGTTGGTGAAGATGTGAGCACTGATCTGGGACCAGAGCAAGTTGAAGAAACAGAGCCAAGTCATGTCCAAGATGATGATATGATAATGGCGGCAGCGATTGAAACCCTTTCACTCGAATTTGAATGTTTTTCCATCACCTCTCAGGAATCTCTTGATGATTCTGCGGATCATGTCGAAGAAGAGATGATCACTGCAACTAGTTATTTGCACTTATCTGGAGAACAAGTAGCAGGCCTAGTGACTCCAGAGGAGCCAGTTACTGAGATGACAAACAAAGAAGCAATAGAGGCTTTATCAAATGAAATGGAAGCAGTGCCAGAAAGTGTTGAAGAACATACGACAGGAGGCCAAGTCACCGGGGAAGACAGTTCTGAGGAAACTATGGAACAAAGTGATGATGTTTTGGCTCAAGCTGTAACACCCGAACAAATCCCAGTAGAACAGGTAGAGGAAACCCCAAGCCCACTTGACGAGGATGCAACCCAAGAGTTGTTGAGGAACACACCAGAAGCAGTTTTTGAAGATATTTCGGGGCTGCTTGAAGTTCCTGAAAACATAGTTGAGGAACCTGCTGACGTGCCACCAATGGATGCCACAGAAGAGTCTGAGCCTTGCGTTTCAGACCAAGAGGAACTCGTAGAGGAGAACATCGTCTTAGCCGAAATGCTAATAGATTCAACTCATGTTGTTTCTGAGATGTCTTTGGAGGGGAATGCAAGCCTTCCTGAGCAACAACGAAAGGGCAACGTGTTGGTAGTCCTACTCGAGACAATCGAAGATGAAGTTACAGAAGAGATCATGCAAGAAACAGATCATTCTGGTCCTAGTTTATCTGCTGAAGAGGAGAACTATGCTTTTCTTGAGACCATTGTAGAGGAAATCCTCACAGAAGACGATGATGAAGCTGAATGTGACCTTGTGACTTCAGAGGAGGACTCTGAAGAGAATGCTGAGAATGAACCAAGTGGGACCTCCACAGATTCATCACTGGACTGAAGTGTCACAACCACAGACTTGGAAGCGTTATTTGTCAGGTTGCAGTCAGCTTGTGTGGAAGTTGTTGAAGAATCAGCATGCTTGGTCGTTTCACGCTATCTTTAGTGGGATACGAAATTACTGTTCATATTAATGTGGCTCTTCTCCAAAGGAAGAAGAGCAGTAAAATGTTGAATGAATAAAAAATATTGATCTACCTCATGTGTTTAACGTTTTGCACCAGGAGTTATACATAGAGGTAGCTGTTGTTGTATCGGCTAGTAGCAAACTACGTACATTTCAGAGTAAGTTGCCATACTAAAATACTTTGATTTCTTATTTAACAGTCGATTTGGCTAGTTATCTACTTATCTATTCAGTCAAAGTTATCATGAGTTTGTATCCGTTTATAAGTATGTTGGGCAGCTTGTTTTTTTCAAAGAGGCTAGTTGTCCTTTTAGTTGAACAAAACAAATAGAAAGCTCTAAATTCAAAGTAATGTCTCTTTACTTAAAGAACCTTTAACTTAGTTTTTCCCCAATCGTAATGAACAAAAACGTTACTATGAACGTGTTTACTCAAGTTTAAAACACAGGACAGTGACCTCCAATATTTGGAAAGAGAAACTTGTGTGCAATGACCAGTGATTCTGATTGGCCCTCCCTGGCAGTCCCTTTGCTGCACAACTGAAGATATGTAATAGTAATTGCAATTTGATTGTAAGTTGTATGTTGTGTTTTATAATAATGAAAAGCAGTGTTTTTTATATATCATCAACACAAGATGAAATTGTGAAGTTTTGAAATGTTTTCCAATAAAATGAAAAATGTAAACATCTTGTTCATTCATAATTTAGTTGTTTTTGTCATGATTCAAACATTTTTCCTCCTTTTCATTCGTGTTTAGTGACAAATAATACCTACTTTCACAAGAGAAAGAGAAGGGTTTAAAAACATTACATTCAAATTAAATCAGTCCACACTGAAGGAAAATTGTATGCAAAACTATGTATTATATACCCACCATCATGTCACAGCAAGGTATTTGTGTTTCCTCACATTTTCCAGGGCATAACTCTCACACATTGTTGAATATCAATGAGTGAGGGGTGGGACACACACACATTAATAAAAGGCTGATTGTTAACAATGCCTCGAGTAGGCAGAGGCATGGTTGGAATTGTGCTCCCATCTCAATGCTGCGATTAAGACACTCACTGCTTGCATTATCAGCTGTGGGGCTTTAACATAATTCTCAAAGGCTAATTCTTTGTGATGCTGTATAGGGGACAGCTAACTTAAAGCAAGAATCAGAATCACTACCGGAGCCGGGGAGTGTGACTCTAGACCTGTGTCCAGTTGAAGAAACAGCTCCTGAAACTGTCAACGGAAACATTCAACCGGAGGAAACCCAAAAGGCAAGCAAACCAGAGGAGAATCCAGTTATGAACTTCTTCAAAAAAATAGTAAGTGACACAATTTGAGAAATTAGGGGTTGATATTCCAAATTGTTTGAAAAAATAGACTGCTGGGGGAAAAAATACATTGAAGAATTTGCTGTAGTGTAAAGGAAGGAAACAGATCTACCATTGTTATCTGTAATTATTACTGAAGTCAAACAGCTGCTTAAAAAACTTAAATGAACATTTTCACATTTCTCTTAAAGCCTTACAGAAACCAAATCATTTAATGATAATGTGAAGCAGTCTTAATTAATTCAACAGATGCTGCGTGACATTTTATTGGTGATTTCTCTTGTTTTATGTTGAGGTATGTGAAAAGGGACTTTTTGGCACAGAAAATGTATCCATAACAATATGACAGCACTGATGGAAAACCTACAACAAGCAGCTATTGTATTTCCTCTTCAACGTGCTGTGTTTGGGTCATTTTAAAGAGTTACCATTGCTCTAGCCCCATGCTAATCAAGTCTCTGAACATGCGGGAATGTGGTGGCCTATTGTTCGAGCCATAGTGTGAGCTCACAAGGGGGGCCTGTGCTGTTGGAAGTTGAGATTTGTGAAGATAGAGCGAGGGCAGGCCTACGCCATCTCCGCAGCACAATGGCTGTCACAATGACAGCGCACGTACTGTATGTGCTCTGTCAGGGACCTCAGAGTGCCTCAGTCAGCTCATCATAAAGGCCTGTGTCTGCATTCATGAAAGGCTTGTATCTAAATAATATTTATTCTGTTTCTATAACATGGGCGAAAGAACGCTGACTTTGTTCTACACAGCTTCAGTGCAGGCTATAAGAAATAACATAATGCAAAGACATAACATTTGAAAGCTAGGCCTTTAGTTTTTCTATTACGAACGGCACAAATAAAAGTTTTCTTCCCTTGTTGCAGGTGACTCCCAAAGTAACCAAGGAAACCGCTACTCCTGAAGCCACAAAAGAGCAGGTGAACAGATGTTTTTGAAGCATTAAATCACATAAAAAACATGTTTAAATATTAACTGGCCATTGTTAATTAAGAAAGGTTTGAATTCTCGTTTTTATTTCTTCTCAACATCCAATGTATATCGTGCTTTTTTTGTTTAGGGTTAACCCTTTTTTTGTTTTGTTTTTGCATCAGTGAACTCAAGCTTGTTTGCACATCTTTGTTTGCTTGAGCTTAACTTTATTTCTCTAACTGTTTCCTTTTTTCTGTTCGCAAATAGTCCCAGGAGTGCCCACCAGTGACAACCACTACTGTGAGAACATTCCCCATGAAATGTTATAATTAGTTTTTATTTACCTCAAAAGGATATCTTTACTGGACATTAGTTGGGTTCAGTTAACTTCCATAAATGCTCCTTTAATTGCTAGTGTTTAATTGTACACACACATTTTTTTCATTGTTTATTAATGTTACGGTGTGTGCAGGAAGCAGGACCCAAATGCAGATTAAAGTGTCAAAAATATCTCCTTTATTTCAAGGCTATAGTATAAACAAAGACAGAACAGAACACTCACCGAAGACCAGGTCATAACACAAGACGAACCGACAAAGACAGACAGAAAAACCAGAACTTAAATACACACAAGACTAATTATACAAACAAGACACAGGTGAGGAGGGAGGAGAAAACACAGGGACACCAGGTGAACACAATCGGGTAAATTAGACACACCAGGGAAACTAACGACAGGGAACCACAGACAGATCTAAAGACAAAACACAACGCAGACAGAAAACCAAAGACAGATCTAGACAAGACACAACGCAGACAGAAAACCAAAGACAGATCTAGACAAGACAAAACACAACACAGACAGAAACAGGCAAGACAGGAGGTGAAGACCTTTCAAAATAAAACATGAAACAAAAGACAGAAATAGACAAGACAAAATACAACACAGACAGATCTTGACAATTTTGGACTAAACTTGCTTGCTAAACTATACTGATAACTGGTTTGCATTCATCATTGCACCTTGAGTTGTAATTGTGTACTTTATCATGTATGTAAGTGTGGAGTGTTTTCTTTTTAGCAATTATTTGAACACTCACTCTCTGAATAGGTCGCACAAGTATCTGAGCCGCCCCCAGCACCCAAAGGGGGGATGTCTATCCCGCCACCACCTCCTCCAGAGCCACCCAAAATGGAAATCAAGGCAGAACCAGCTGCAAAACCTGCCAAACCCACACTCAAAGAAGAACCAAAAGCTGCTGGAAAGTCACCCAAGGCCTCAAAAGGAGTATCAACCAGAGCCACTCTGAGCAATCTCTTCCATCCAAAGGTAAATAAACAGTAAACCAAAGATTGTAAGACAAGATAGATACGTAAAGGGGTGGTTATTCATGTAGAATTGCAATGATGCATGAGTAAAATCTGAGTATAATGCAGAGTGAATGTGAATTTGAGGTACTGCTAGGTCTCAAGGCATCCAAGGGCAAGAGTGCTTCAGCAAGTGGAGCCAATGCCATGACTGCAGCAGTGGTACAGTAGATTATTATATTCTCTAACTGACCATGGCTCTTCCTGTTACTAACTGAACAAGAGCTGGTCTGTCTGGAGGTGGCAAGAACAGAACAAATAGCTGTTTTCAAATAGGAATAAACAGCAATTGTATAAGATAGTATTTATTGTGCCTTGAACCTCACCCAGGGTATCAGATTGTTGTTGTTCTCTTTCAAAGATGTGACTTGGATGTGATATGGAGATACCATGTCCAATAATCACATAAATATTTCCGGAGAAAACTGTGTCAAGTTAGCAGCACTGTTTGTACCACAGTCCCTTTTCCATGATATTTGCACTATTTAAATTGTATTAGTGATTAATTTAATTCACACAAAATGTTGAGAAAATGCACGTAAAATTAGATGAGGAGATCAACACTACTCTTATGATTTTGCACTAACTATCAAGCTACAGTCAGAAAACATGGAACTTAGCTTAACAACTGGAAACAAGGGAAACAGCTAGCTTGGCACCTGGAAAAAGAATAAAACATTAATGACCTATGAACCTTTAGACAGTGCACTTTGAGTATGTCAAGTAAATTCACACTGCATACTAAGTAATTGTTGCAAAAATCCTAAACAATTAGACTGCGATACATAGGCTACTCAATTTGTTATCAGTATAACTAGTAGGCCTAGGCTACATTAGCATGTGAATTCAAACAAAGCCCAATAAATAGTTGCAGCACATGAATCATATTAACAACTTCTCATTTGTACTCACTTTATGTACAAATTAACATACAGTGCCATTTGCTTACTTAAGAGCTAGCCGATTCTTCCTGCCTCCAGTCTTTATGCTATGCTAGCCACTTTCTAGCTATACTTAGCTCACTGATCTGAGAGTGGTATTGATCTTCTCATCTAATTCTCAACAAGAAAGCACATACACGTTATCAAAAATGTCAAACTATTATTTTAACCTTTTATAATGACAACATTGCCTCTGTGTTTAAAGGACATCTCCTGTCTATCATGTTGCTTTGACTAACAATATTAATTCCTCCAATGTCCTGCAGAAAGTCAATGATGAACCACCAGAGCCAGAAGTAGAGGTAGAGGTACAACCAGTAGTAGAAGTACAGGTAAACCAGAGTGCATGCTCAATCTCATCAGGAGTATTCAGGGGATTGTGTATTTTAATGTGAGTTTGAATATCAAATCTTTCACCAAACCCCTCTCTAGCTGTGCTCATAACAGACATACCATATAAATGAAAGCACGTTCAAATCGTCTTAATTTGCATCTCTTCAGAATAAAAAAGTAGTTTTGCTCTGCAGGAGACACCAGAGGAGTCACCAGAGCCAGTTGTAGAAGTCCAGGTAAAACAAGTATGAGAGTTGTAAATCTCAGGGTTACGTCATTTTTTGGGGATTGGAATAGTCGTCTGGGCCCAGGAGTTTAACATTTTGAATCCCTATCTGATCACATCAGATTTGGATTTTGGGGAGTTCAAAACCAAAAAACAGGATTAGGATCACTTTGATATCCGATCAGATCAGGAAATCCAATCCAAGCTTTAATCTGGATCAAATCTTCACAACAAAGATTGTCAAGCACAGATGTAATTTAGATTAAAGAAAAAATATCTTCAACAAAAAAAAACCCTAACCCTAACCCATCATCTGTCATCACCTTTCAAATTTAAAAATATAATTAGACATTATAGATGTCTCTGCAATGTGGTCTCTTGTCTTCCTTGTATTATTTTTCATATCCACTAGATGGCGATCAATAGGATTAAAGCATTGATATTCAGGATCTAGTAATCTTGAAAAATCGTAATCTGGATCAGATTGATCCTATCCTGAATTGCTTTGAACTCCAGGGACAAAATCTGGCCGATTTGTCTGATCCTGGATCACAAAAAATGGGATTTCA